TTTCCGTAATATAAAGTTAATTTGGATAAATTTGGAAGTGATTGGATATTACACAAAAATCGTGTATAGTGGAAAGTACAAATAAAGACAAAGAAAGTTGTAAAGAGTAATTAAAATGGTTTAAAAAGAGCAACTTTTACTAAACATATTGCAGAGGTTTAGAATCAGGTTAATGAACAAACGACAAAAGTTTGAATTTTTTGCCTAAAAAACGTTTTAGGACTTTACTTTATGAATATATAGTGTTGGAATCCATTTAACTAAATATCTGGATATCCGTGAATCATCCAGATATCTGGATACTTAATTTAATTTGCAGATACTAAATCCGGATGCCTATCAAAATATCAGATCCATCCGGATGATCATCTGGATAGTTATATAATATCATGAGTGCCGAAAAATCAGTTGGTAAGTATAAAATAATTTGCTAATCAAAGATATTCGAAAATAATATATGCACTTATTAGTTTTATTAGTTTATTGTCATACCGATTTGGTTGATAAACAATCTTTTATTCAAGTCGATTCAGTCAATATTAGTAAACCTATCAATATACAAGAAATATCAAACAGATTATTTGAGGTGTATGAAATTCTTAATAATTTATAAAAGATTAAATAGTAATATAATATTCTAGGATATTGTGAGTTGATATAGCAAATATTTGTTAATCGAAATATTTGAAATAATCTATATATCTATTCATGCTGATTATGATTTCTATAACTTGATTTTTTTGAAATACACTAAGTATTGTTATAAATTTTGGTCTTATCTGAACTCAAGTTGCATGGTGCCATACTTACACTTGTACTATATTATAATAGTGCACATAATATAAACCTAATAAATAACAAAAAATTAGGCTATATATGTATATTACAATAATTTTATACAATATTGGTACTGATAGTTTTTTTTGGTCTGTTTACAAAAACCAGACTGGCTAAGTCTAAGACAAAGTGCAAGACCAGGTTTTAGTTAAACTAACAGCCCTAATTGTGTACATAATCTAAATTTAATATGTTAGATCAAATATCGCAAAATACAGAATCAGATTAACATAAAATTTTAAACCACAATATCTAGATACTTTCCTATTCCTGGTTTTGCATGATGCTATCATGCAGCTACCTTATTTTACAATAACTTATAATAGAGATCATAGTAATTCAAATACATACAAACTCAGCTGCACTGATTAATTGAAAAATCAGTGATACCATAGGCACAACAATTTTTCTTGTTATATATAAAATCCGGATACATCCGGATAGATATCCGGATTCTAATATTTTAATTTAGAAGGATATCCGGATGGATGTTTTTTGAAATAGAGATTAATCCGGATATCTGAATTGTCACCCAGATCCTAACACTACGAATATAAGAGCTAAAGACTTAAAATTTGAGTATTATGTATATTTTGATTAACCGGACAACTTTTATTATTGTATGTAATTAGGTTAATATAGTAAAATTTTGCATAAATAGACATTATTTGTTGGACGGATTTTAAGTAAATTTTGTGTTAGGGATTTGCAGAAAGAGTTATTTCCTTATTGATATTTTAGATGTTAAGGTCAATTAATCTAATACAAATTGTATTTTACAGTAACAAATTTAATCTAATCGGCCATACCTGATATATTATATAACTCTAGTATCTTTATATCCAGCATTGTTATCTACTTTATTTATTATTGGTAGTGTTCCAAAAAAAATCTGGGTCTGGTCTGGGTCCAATCTGGTTTGCTGACAAACTGGGTTTGGACCCTTGATTTATCAGAATTGATACAGTTTTAGATTTATATGAAGGTCCACCCAAGTCCTACCTGATTTAGTCTAGAATAATACCGAATATTGATTGGCTAATTTCAGGTTTTTTTAAACTAAGCTTTATTGAGCTACATAAAACAATCAGAACAAACAATGAATATATTTTGTATTTTGGTCAAATAACTTACTATAAACGCAATTCAAAGAAATAAAAAAAAGTTAAAATCTATATTTTAAATCTTTTTTTTTTAGAAAAGCATGTAAAAAAGCATGAAAAATAATCCTGAAAATAAACTAGATATGAAAAAGCCTATAAAAAAAAAAATCAAAAACATAAATACTTTGGTTAAATAGCTTTCTATAAATATGATTCAAAGAAATAAAAAAAGAAGTTAAAACCTTAAACCTTATATTTTTAGAAAAGTATGTGAAATAGTATAAAAAAAAAGGCTGAGAAAAAAATTAAGTATGAAAAAAAAACAAAAAAAAAACAGATAAATACTTGAAAAAATTCACATTTACAATTTTTTTTCTTCTTATTATAGCTTATTTTAAGAATTAAGAAATACATAATTAGCTACTTTTACTTTAATACATTAAATCTTATACTTTAAACTTTCAATGTTAACTAAATTACATTCTCAAGACAATTTTGAGGAACATGAGTTACCACTTCAGTATCATAGTAAATTATACTCAAATAACCCTAATTTACACTAAGATAAATCATGTTGGGATGATTCATATCAAGAAGAATTGTATCAGGATAATTCATATCAAGATGAATTGTATCAGGATAATTCATATCAAAATAAATTGCAAAATGAATCTTGCCCAAATGAATCATCATCTCAAGTGAAACCTTCAACTTGTAATAAAGCCTTAACAAATGAAGGGTAATATATATGAAACTATATTTTTAATATTATATACTATATATATATTTTATTTATCAACTTTTATTTTATAGATCTATAGTATAAAAGTATTTTAAAAAGAAAAAAAGCAATACCAAGTGTGATATTTGCAACATACCACTGGTCTATAACAATAGAACAATATCAAATCTTTTAAAACATCTTAAAAAATATAAAGGTAAAGTGCCTGAACTTGAATTAAATATAAAAAGCAGTATTGATATTTTGAAAATGTTAAATTAAGGTCATAGCAAATATGAACCCTTTAGCCATTAAAAATTTATTGGTATAGTAAAAAAGTAGATCATAAAGTATAATTGATTATTTTAAATTATTAAAAACAACAAACTTAGATATATATTTACTTACTTAGAACCTAGTGCAATTGGTAAAATATCATTAAATCGTATATTTAATATATTAAATTTATTGTAAAATAAAATATAAATATCTAAGTTTTTTTTTTAGTGACTACTGCTAATCTTATAAAACAACATGTTATAAACAATTTCGAAGAAGAATATAAACAACTTCAAAAAAAATTACAAAATATTCCTGGATATATAGCCATAACAACCAATATGTGGACAACTTCTACTAATGAAAAGTTATTTATAGCTGTTACAATACATTATCTAAATAAATTGTGAAAAATAAAACATATTCTGCTTGATTTTATTTTTATAGAGGATTTATATACAGACAATTGCAAATGCTATGGAAAAATGTTTACAAAAAAATGAGATAGTTTCAAAATTAATATCAATAATTTGTGATAATGCCTTCGCAAATATGAAGTTTCTTTATGATTTTTCTAATTCTATATAAATAACTGGTATTTAGATTTAACAGTACGCAGCAATCAATATGGTGTTTTAGTTATATTATAAACCTTGCTGTTCAATATATTTTAAAGAATATAGAAAAAGAAATAAAAAATGTTATTAAATTTTTAATATTTTATGGTTCGCATTATATGATCTATTTGTATTACACTATTCTGTTATTTAACAATGAGTTGATTATCTAATTATGTCAATATGCATTAGAATATTTTTTTTGTATTAATTCTAAGTAAGTTTCTAGATTCTGCATAATTATTATTATTATTTTGTTGTAGTTGTGTGGATTAATAAAGAGTATTAGAGGATTACGAATACGTCATAAAAGGTTAAAGTTATCTAGTAGGTTAAAACCGGTTCTTGATATAGTAACACAGTGGAATTCTACCTTTTATATATGTGAAAGAGTATTAAATCTGCATACTGTGTTGGATGCTATATCATTTGCTAATACAGAATTACATTAGTATATTTTAACTAAGAATGAATAAAAAAAAAAATAAAACTTTTTGAAGTTTTATTACCTTTTAAGGATGGTTTGTATATTTTCAGTATAGGGTATAATTAACAAAATATATTGTATAAATTTACTGTATATTTTAATTTAGTGTTTATGTTTATATTATCGTCAGAATATCCAATACTGTCAATGGCTATTTCATTTTATCATTCATTACTTGAATCACTTGAAAAAGCTAGACAAAAAAATGATATGCCAAAGCAAGAATGTAAATTTGCAGCTAATAAACTTCTAGAATATTGCTAAAAAACAAGTGTTTTGCATTTATCATCAGTTGTGCTAGATCTACAGTTTAAAATTTGATACTTTGAAAAACTTGAATAGCCATCTTAGCTTGTTAATCAAATTAGGGATATATAAATATTTTAATTTATAATACATATAAAATATGTAATTAATAGTCTGATCAGTTTAGACTAGTAATATAGTAGAATTGTCCCAATGATTGTGTAACTAAGAATAACATAAGCCTTATCTAGTTATGATAATTATTGAGACAATTTTACTGCATCACTAGTCTAGACCCAGTTATTTAAATATATGTTTATCAAATATTTATTAAATACAGTATATAATGCTTTACCAATACTATTAAAGCTACTGCCCTTTTGGTGTTCTTTTTTTTTTTTTTTTTTTTTGGTATTAAAAGGTGAGGTCTTGCTCATATCTTTATTGAATAATTTATATAAGTAATCATAAAGAAACAAAACTAAATGAAGACTTAATTCATATATAAATGAATAAATATAAACTA